AGCTCCGAAGCGCTGACAGACAGGTCAGCACCGGCCCTTGCCTGGCTCCCTGTGTGGGGGAGGCTGCCTTCCCCCTTCCCTGCGCCCCAGCCTCTCAGCCCCTCAGGACAGCCTGGTTAGTGTGTGTCAGGAAAAGGGGGCTTGCAGCAGCCCTGACACCGGAGTCCAGAGGCCCACAGATGCACGAGGGAGGCGCGCGAGGGGCGAGGGCCTGAGGACACGCACATCTTTGTCAGAAAGGCTGTGGGAGCAACAGAACCCTGTGGCAGGACGGCTGAGCCGGCCCTGGGTGAGCTCCCCACCCAGGAGGAAACGGGCAGCAGGAGATGCACGTTTGAGGCACCCAAAATGTGTCATTGTGGCTTCCAAACGTGTCTCCCTTATTTTCCCTCTGGTAAGACTTCGACCTGTTTTGATGAGCCAAAATCAGTTAAAACTATCCATCAATGCTTCTGATTAACCAAGCGGTTGCAGTTTTTTATGACACTGAGCCTAAATAAAATCATCCGAGAGCTAAGAACTCTGCATATTTTAGCTAAGCTGTGCAACCACATGGTAGGTAATGCGTATTTCCATGAGGCTTTTTGATAGTTGGGAACAGCTTGATTGTGTATTCCATGGTTCTATAATGAATGTGTAGTGCTCTTATAACTGAGTGTGTGGGAATCACATTGTTTCAAATTGACTGGGGTAGTCCAAGCCACAACTGGGGAGCCCTACTACCTCATTCCTCCAGAGAACAGAAAACTCCAGGTTTTCTACTAAAAAAAGTATGGGACTGCAATTTATAATGCTGGAGTGGCCCAAGTTGGAGTTACCAGGAGATTAGAGAAAGACAGCACAAGACTCTCCGGGAGCAAACTCCATGCTTGATTAAAACCTGTTGCTAATTTTTAGAGCAGCTCTGCCTGGAAAGGGATAAAACCTGGGAGAATGCTGCCATCTCGTGACCTAACTAGAAACTATGGCTATTGCTCGTTTTGTTCCATTCACATTAATACTACTGTAATAAAACTAAAATGTACCCTATGAAATTATCTATATTCGACCCAGCATGACCCTTAAAAAATGTCAGTTTACCAAAACAACTTCACAGGGGGAGAAGAATAATCTTTTCAATAATCGGTGCTGGAACAGCTAGACCCACATGCAAACTTGGACACCTTCCTTACATCATTCAGAGCAATTAAACTGGATCATCGACCTAAAAGGGGAGCTAAAGCCAGGAAGCCATCAGAAAAAACATACAGGGGAGTCTCTGTGGCTTTGGATTGTGCAATGTTTTCTCATATATATGACACAGGAAGCACAACCAACAAAAAGAAAAATAAACTACATCAAAATTAAAAACTTCCATGTTGCAGGTGATAGAATCTATAAAGTGAAAAGATAACTCACAGAAAGCAAGAAGATGCTTGCAAATAATATACCTGGTAAGGGACTGGTATCCAGAATATATAAAAAAATCTTACTAGTTAATATTAAATGACCCAATTTTAAAAATGGGCAAAAGACTTGGACAGACGTTTCTTCAAACAAAATAGGGCATTACGCTTAGTGAAGTAAGTCAGATAGAGAAAGACAAATACCAAATAAGCTCATTTATGAGGAATCTAAAAATAAAACAAAATAAACAAGCTCATAGATACAGAGAACAGATTGGTGGGTTTTGGGGGGTGGGAGTTGGGCAAAATGAGCAAAGCTGTCTGAAAGTACAAGCTTTCAGTTATAAAATAAACAAGACACAGGGCTATAATATACAGCACAGTGACTATAATTCATTATACTGTAGAGCGTATTTGAAAGTAGCTGAGAGTGAATCTTCAAAGTTTCTTGTCTTTACAAGAAACACAATTTTAAACTATGTGTAGTGACGGATGTTAACTTAGTGTGGTGATCATTTCACAATACAGACAATTATTGATTTATTATGTTGCACACGACACTAATGTGTCAATTATCCCTCAATTAGAAAAACAGAGTGAGGACACATGTCACACCCACTAGGACGGATACCATCAGAGACTGGCGAGAAAATGCTGGCGTTAAACTGGAACCCAACACATTGTGGCTGGGAATGTGAACATGGGGCGGCTGCTCTGCAAAGGTCTGGCAGTTCTACAGAGTGTAGAGCAGAACTATCGTATGACTGAAAGTTACCGTGTGATCCAGCAGTTACCCTCCTAGGTATGTACTTCAAGAGAAATGAAAACATAACATTGACATAAACACACACACATGGATGTCCATGGCAGCACCATTTATAACAGCCAAAAAAGGGAAACCACCACCAACTGATGAACAAAATTTGACATTTATACAATGAAATATTATTCAGCAATAAAAAAATGAAATGATGACACACGAGCATTTTACATGATGAACCTAAAAAACATAATGCTGAGTGGGAGAAACCAGGCACAAAAGGTCACATTGTACGATTCTATTTATATAAAATGTCCAAAAATAGGCAAAACTATGGAGACAAAAAGTAGATGAGTAGGTGGCTGTGGGTGGGTGAGTGGGAATGGGGAGTGAGAGCTAAGTGGGCTTGGGGTTTCGAGGGTGAAAATATTCTACAATTAGACTGCAGTGCTGGTTGTCCAATTTTGTGACTATACTCCATCCACTGAATTATATACTTCAAATGGATGGATTTCATGGTATGTGAATTTTATCTCAGCAATATATATTTAAAAGGCTAATTTCATCTTTTTTAGCCTAATATATTACATTAATTGCACTCTTGCCATCTGTCAGGAACTCTTCTGGGAACTTAGTATGAATTAATTAATGTAACCCCTAAAATACCTAATACAGGTACTGTTTTGCAGGGGCGTGAGCTGCTCTGACCCAGGATCCGGGGCGGGTCTCAACACTCCCTCCTGCATGTGGCCGCTGGGGGGCACTAGCAGGCTGCCTCTGACCCTGTTTCCTAACCCACGAAGCCTCCACGTTCCAGAGCTTTCCTGTCACTGTTGAAGGGGGTGGGGACGGGGGGCGCAGGGAGTGTGAGGAGGGTCCTCAGGAAGAGGGTGTCAGATTAAAGCAGGAAGAGTGTTTTCAGAGAAGGGTGAACTACAGCAGCGGGGATTTGGGGCCACATGGGAGGGAGGCAGGGTAATTCCCAGGATAGTGGTGATGCCGTTCAACTAAGGCAGGGGTAGGAGGAAAGGACCCCGTCCGGGGCAGTTTGGCTGTGATCCCAGGGAGTGGACAGGGCACACTCCCAAGGGGCAGCGACCACGGGACAGACGGGGTCAGAGAGAGATTCATGTGAGGGCTCAGCATTACCAGCGGAGGTGCCCAATGGCATCCGGCTCTACGGCCAGGCCCCAGGGGGGACGAGTAGCACACGAAGACCAAGTGCTGGGGACACCAAGGCTGCAGCCCTTCGAGGGCCTGGAAGGAAATGAGATGCAGAGCAAGTGCAGAGCCCAGGGCAGGAGAGGTCTGGTCACTGAATTTACAGACAAGGTTTGGTAGGGAGACAGAGAAAACCGCTTTCCCGGCTGAGGTCGCACGTGCCCAGCCTGGAAAAAAGCTACCTGGTCACTGGTGGTGCCCTGGAGCTGCCCCCTACCCCACCCCCACTCCCACCCCGGGGAGCGCGGGAAGCTTGCCCTCCTGCCTCCTGAGAACACGACTAGACCCCCACAAGCACCCAGGGGATATTTGCAGGAGACTGAAAATAAAAGCTCCAGATGGGCGAAGAACACTGGTTTTCATTCTAAGCTTTTTGGGTTTTGATATTTTAGGTCAATTGCATGCAGGACTTGAAGAAGAATGAAAACCGTTTTCTTGTATTAATTATATGACTTCACGGTAAACCCAACCTTTTCACTGGCTCTGACCAGTATTCCATGTCAGGCACAGTCCAGCCTCCCTTGCTGTGCAGCCCCAGCTTTGCAAGGGGGCGAAAGTCCTCTGAAGTTATTTTCAGTGATGAAACACAGCTGCTATATACCCAGCCAGACCAAGAAAACTCAGGAAAAGGCGGAGGGTCCTCGTTCCTCAGTCCCCACCCCCACACCGAGGCTCCGGACACCGCGAGCACAGCAGGTGCGCCCAGCCGGGGCCAGCCAGCTGCCCACGCCCTTTGGGGCGGCTCCTTGGGCGCTTGGGGTCTCTCCCAACACCCACCAGCCCAGGGGTCCTCTTCATTTGTCTCCCAGAATCCAAGTCAATCATCGCTATTTCCGAAGTGTCACATGCTTGTACCCTTGAGCAGCATGGTTTACTAGTAGAAACAATAACCAAAATGTTGAAGTCTTGCATACAAATGTACTCACCTGCGCTTTGGAAGCTGAACCCCTTACACAGCCAAACGGGTATTGTGGAAACGGGGCGGGTTGGCAAAGCCGGGTGGACAGCGGAGGGCACAGCAAGGCTGCGCTTGGGCTTTCCCCAGCCCAGGCCAAAATGAAGTACGTGTATGTGCTGTGAGAAACAAGATGGGAGCTGGCAGGGCAACCGAGGAGGGAGGACCATCTCCATCCCCAGTCCTGCCCAGCACGGCCACCTCCCCAAGACCCACGGACAGAAGGCTCACTTCCAAAACCAGGCAGCTGTAAAGCAGGGCAGCACCCTCGTGACCACACGTACAAGTTAACCAAAGCTCCACCGTAGTCTCGAGAGGGCATGTAGCTAAAACGCCAACCACTGACCCGGAACTTTATTATTTTTTTAATTGACTGTAGAGAGAGAGGGAGACATCGACTTGTTGTTCTACTTATTTATGCATCCACTGGCTGATTCCTGCTTGTGCCCTGACTGGGGATCGAACCTGCCACCTTGGTGTATCAAGACGATATTCTAGGCCACTGAGCTACCCCACCAGGGCCTGATCCAGAACTTTCTGGATGGCAACTTTCACAGAGTGCAAACAGGCAGCCTGCAAACCAAATTCAATGTGATTTGCTTGGGTGCCTAAGAGGTTTTTTAAAAATTGATTTAGTTACCACCACACCGGGAAATTTCACATAAATATATTTCCTGACTCTGAAAAAAAAAAAAATTACAAGATCTGTTCCCACACAGCAACAGCCTGATGGAGCTGACAAGTGCCCACTTCAGACGGCCGTGCGTGCTCCTCGCTCCAGCACCACACCCAGCCGGCGCCACTCCTTCGTGTTTCCTGCCTGCTTCCCTTGCTGGCAGTGAGCACCCTTCACAGGCCCCACGGCTCCCATGCTGGCACGAAGGGAGCCCGAGTTCTGACGTGCATGGCCACCCACCCCAGGACAAATGTGAAGGAGAAGAGGTTTGCTCACAGGCGCTGTGGCTCCCTGAGCAGGGTAACGAACTGCTTCTGAGTTTCTCCACAAGTCAGAGAACAGCCATGCTCGTTCCAAGCACAGGAACCTTCCTGATTGATCAAGAACTTTACTGCTGGATGAAAATGGTCCCTGCTTTTAGATTCTATGCTGTAGTTCCCCTTTTCCTATTATTGACCCAAGCTGCCTGGACCCAGGCTCTCTTCCAGCTTGGCAAGATGACCTTGAGGCAGGGAGACTTCCCACAGGTTTTTCCAGAGTGTGGTCCAAGTATCGGCAAATAAAAAAGACTTTAGTTCCCAGGAAAAGCCCTGGAACAGCTGGGCTTCTTCAGCTTCTCACACCTGGCTCTTCTGGAGTCTGACCCAAGGGAGCAGTCCACTCGACAAAGCGAACTCGGGGCCAGCCTGCTCAACCGTCTTCATTCACTGTGTTCCCAGATGTCCAGCTCTGGCCTCCCCGTCTGGATTCCAACTTGGCATCTCTAAGCCCAGATGGCTCAGAGAGCGAACAAAGTAGCGAGGAAGCCTGCAGACCAAGCTGAGCTCCTCCTCCCTGGACCCCAGGGCGGGCAGGACCAGCTGGCGGGCGTGCAGGTGAAGAGGGATGTGGCGGGCCTTCGACTGCGGCAGCCCCAGCCTCTTCAGTGTGCCGGCAGACAGCTTCTGCAGAGAAAGGACGGACCGTGAGAGCAGCGCCCGCAGCGCTTCACTGCGGGCCAACATGCAGGTCAGACGACCTGCACTCGGAGGGGCCCGACGCCGACACCCTGGAAGCCTGCCTCAGCGGGAAGGGTTCAGGACCCAGGCAACAGACCTCTGCCTCTCGAGGGAGCCCCTAATGGCCAGCTCTCTGGCCTTCCAAGAGAATGGGCTGGAACAGCGCAAGACACCGTTTCCCCCGTGGCTCTGTCGCAGCGGCAGGAAAGGCAGCTTTGAGCCTTCTAAAAGCCTCCTTCCCTGCCCGCAGCCTCCCGACAAAATCTGAGACTGAGCACATGAAGCAGGAAGGTTTGCTAAGAGATGCTGAGCCCCACGAGAACAGCAGCTGACTGCGTCTGTTTTTCTGTGGGCTCAGTAACTGGGGTGGCAGCTGCTGAGTCAAACCCGTATTACCTGGGGGGCCAACCTATTCCAGTCGGAGTACTTGTGATCACCAAGGATCGGGCAATCCAGTCCAAAAGACAAGTGAACTCGAAGCTGATGTTTTACCCCTTTAAACAAAAGAGAAAGAGAGAAAACTTACACGTGGTTCCAGAAAGAGTACCACTGGCGGCAGCTGCTTCTACTCATGTGAAATCGAAGCACAGTAAACCGGCAAAGCCCCAACTACGTTAAAGTAATAAAGAATAATCTAACAAACTGTATGCTCTCAGGACGTAAACATCATAAATACTGTCCCACCTCCCGTCTCCCCTCCCCCTCACAGCTCCCACTTTCCACGGAGAGAAGCATCATCACCACCTTGGTGTCCGCCACTGCCATGCTGGCTTTGTTAATAGTAATTTTATTATATGACACCAAATAGTTTTGTTTTGCACATTTATTTTTTATTGTGGCAAAATATTCCTAAAATGTACCATCCGAACCCTTTTTAAGTGTCCAGTCCAGTAGCCATAAGCACATTCACGTTGTTGGGCCACCACCCATCTCCAGAAATTCTGCGTCAGCCCAAACTGCAACTCTAAACCCCGAGTCCCCACCTCTGCCCCGCTCCGGCCCCTGGTAGCCACCCCGTCTCCACGACATTGGCTGCTCTAGGCATCGCCTATGAACAGAATCATACAGTGTTTGTTGCCCTTCCCTGTGTCTGGCTTTTTTCATTTAGCACGATGCCCGCAAGGTTCATCCCTGTTGCGGCATGTGTTGGAATTTCCTTCAGAAGGCTGAATGATGTTCCACGGCGTGGATATACCACATTTTGTTTATCATTCGTCTGTCAGCGGACATTTGGAATGTTTCACCTTTTGGCGAATGTGAATAGTGTGCTATGAACACTGGTGTACAACTATCTTTTTGAATCCCTGCTTTCAATTGTTTTGGATGGATACCCAGGGGTAGAACTGCTGGATCGCATGGTAGTTCTATGCTTAATTTTTTTTGAAGAACCACCTGACAAATTTTTAGATAAGTGTAAACAAACTGCTATATTCTTCTGCTATCTACTGTTTTTTAACTTTCATCCCTACTGGAGCTCCCAGTCTCTGACTAGCACCAGACGCACACTCTCAAATGAGTCAGCTGCAACCCCAGCCCCAGGAGCCCCGCTGCTGCCAGCCCCAGGCCCAGGATGCAGCTCAGCACCACTGGGGTGCAGTGCCGAACGGCGGCCCTCTCACCAGTGACAGGCTGGAGCTCCAAGAGGGCGGAGGAGGCCGTGCTGCTCAGCACCCGGTACTGAGTCACCGCCATGTGCGCGTTCCGGCTGGTCCGCACTTTCACCATTTTCCCGTTGTCCATACGGTAACTCGGGGATAGCGTCATCTGAAGCCAAAGATATCAGGATGTAGTTTCAAGGGACGAGCAGAAAGCCCATCCCTCCGGGCCCAGCTCAGCTTGCCCACCTTGTGGTGCTGCTGCTGCCCTGGCACCTCCTTCTCGATGATGGGGATATCCACAGCTCCTGCTGCGGGCACTGGGACGCGCGCCGTGACAGCCCTGGGGTGACACAAAGACCTTTGCTTAAGCCACAAAGGTAGGTGAGGCACTCTTCAGATTTGGCTACTTAGAGGTTTTTACAGTGGACCTACGGTGGTTAGTTCCTAAGATCCAAGGGTTCCAATAATCTCTTGGTATAGCGCTTAGCTGAGAGCTCGACACTACTCTTACAAACGTACCTTTTTTGACTCCTAAAGTAATAGATGTTAATGGTGGGATATTTGGGGAAAAAATTATATTAATAACATGGTCTTTCATTCCAGCCTTTAAAAATGAGTATGTATAATTTAAAATAAAATTAGAGTAATATGGCTTTTGCACCCTGTTTTTCTTTTTTAAATAATAAAAGAGGGTAAGTTCTGAGTGCATATGAAATACATAAAAAAAGAATGAAGTAAAAGAAATATTCACAGGACCATTCTGCCCTATTTGCCAGGTAGGTAGAACAGGGAGGAGCTGTGCTCAAAGAAGTCACAGAAGCCCCAACAACTCAGTAACTCATTCGGAATCACTTTTGCTGGAGGACTCTTGTCATCACGTCACAGGCAGGTAGAAGACAATTTAATCTGTCCCTACGTTCACACCTCTCCAGGTCAATCCGAGGAACCCTCCTGGGTACCAGGTGGCCTACCACAGAGGCACTGACCGAGGGGCGAAAAGCCCACTCAGATGTAACATCTCACATCCTGGACGCCCCACTTCAGGCTGGTGGCAGTTTGGGCTGCTATCTGATATATCTGATTACACTTGAACTGAGTTATAACTACTCAATCACCCTTCCTGGTTGCCTAACATGACTGCTCAAAAAATGGTCAGGCAGTAAATATTTACTGAATGCAAACAGGCACCGATTCAGAGAGGTACTAATTCTACGTAGATGAACAAGACAAAAATCCCTGCTGTCAAGGAATTCAGAGTCTGGTGTGAAGATTCAAACAAATAGCTATAACGTAACAAGCTGCTATCAGCAAAAGCTAATCATTCCTCCTATGTGCTACTTGTAACTTCTACTTCCTGCACCTGTACTTAGGGCCATCACTGCGTAGGTGCCAAGCCTACCCTTCCAGCTCTATCTGCCACCACCTGCCATTCCAAACTGGAGTGTGTGCCGCATCCTCCGCGCATGCCCCTCTCCCACAATCTAGAACATTTTCCTTCATCTTGTCACCCAAATCCTATTCCTTCATCAGGAGCCAATTAATTGACTTCAATTCTTCTACGAAGCCTATTACTGAGAATGGTTATCAATCCTGAACTTTCACGAACAATTTTCAAACAATATAACAATTTTTTTATAGATTTACAGTTTGATTACTTGTATATATAATGATAGTCTTCGTTTTCCAACCTTCAGCCTTTACTATGAGCTCAGTACTGTGTTAAACACTTCGCATGCATTATCTCATCCAAAATACAGAAAGAATGAATACTTACAAATCAGACATAAAATAACGAACCCAAAAGAAAATGGGCAAAAGAAATAGTCTATTTACAGAAAGGGAAACTCAAAATAGACAATAAACACAAAAAACAGTCAACATCAAAAATATATGGGAAAATTGAAAATAAAATGTCATTTTTTAAAAACCTAGCTGAGTGGCAAGCCTTTTAAAAATGCATCAGGCCCTGGCCAGGTAGCTCAGCTGGTTACAGAGTCATCATGACACACCAAGATTGTGGGTTCGATCCCTGGTCGGGGCACATACGGGAAGCAATGAATGGATGCATAAATAAGGGGAACAACAAATTGATGTTTCTCTCTCTCCCCCTCTAAAATCAATAAAAAATAAAAATAAAAATTTAAAAGCACCTTGGTCAGCCTAAGAGGAGGTGGACACTCACCGCTGCTAGTGAGAATAAAAACTGACATAACCATTTTGGAGAGTGATCTGGGTAGTAAGGATTCAAATATTAAATGTGTGTACCCTTCAACTCAGCAACTCCATTTCTAGGAATCTGTCCTGAAGATATACTCACATAACCTTTGCAATAGGTCCTGAAAAAAATGGGAAATTCCCTACACATCCGTCAATACGGACATTATGATATATCCACACAATGGAATACCACAGAGCCTTTAAAAAGGAGCTAGCTTTCAATCACACCACAAAATGCTGAGATATTGTCTGAATGAAAAAAAGTAGTATGCAAAGCAGTGCACAATATGCTGCCATACGGGACCATGCTTCTACATGCCCAGTATAACTCTGAAAGGTCACACAGGACACTAGTGATTGCCCCTGGAAAAGGACACTGAGTAGATGGGAGACAGACGTAGGTTTCATTTTTGCTCCTGTATCTTTCTTCTATTACAAAAGACAGAGGCAGCCCTGGCTGGAGTGGTTCAGTGGGATGAGGGCCGGCCTGGGAACCAAAGGGTCGCCAGTTTGACTCCCGGTCCAGGGCATGTGCCTGGGCTGTGAGCCAGGTCTCTGGCTGGCGTCATGTGAGAGGTTGACGCCAGCCAGAACAATCCATGTTCCTCTCACACATTGATGTTTCCCACCCTCTCTTTCTCCCTCCCTCCCTCCCTCGCTCTCGAAAAAATAAAATCTTTAAATAAAAACAAAACAAAAAATGAAGGTGAACCTATATGTAGTAACACAGAAAGATTCTCCAAGACACAGAGTTAAGGAGAAAACAAAGTACGATGTACGTTGTACAATGTGATACATGTCTATACACCTGTGTCAATACACACGCACACATACTATATATACCAGATACATAGATACATATGTTGGGTAAGAGCCAAAGAAATAAAAACCGAACTACTCCAAGGGAAGGGACAAAAATGACAAGAATAGGTGGATTCTCCAGGAGTTTTTTGCTCTTTGTTGTTTGACTCTTTTACCACAGAAATCATGTATTCCTTCTATAATTAATTTTCAATGATTTTTATGTACGGCCATTATTAGGAATCGCAACTGTATCAGACTCTAATGTTCTAAGCACTAAATCTGGCTCCTATACCCTTTAAGTGCCCACAGGTCCTAGCACAGTGCCTTCTGTCAATAGGAGCTGCTGCTGTATGAATGCATGAAGAAAAGAAAGAAATGCCTGTATTCCTACCACCCCGCCGCTATCCGTGGGCTTCATACCAGTACTTCTTTGTCACCTGGCGGGTTCTGAACAACTCTTGGACTTGGTGCGCCACTTCCTTCTCCCAAGCCAACACCATCACACCTGTAGTTTCCTTGTCCAGCCGGTGGCACAGATGCAGTGGCTCTGCCTTGTGGCCATGGAGCATCTTTGCCAGGATAGGCAGCACATCACTGATGCAGAGCTGGACCCCAGGGCCACCTAAGAAGGGGAAAGACAGATGTGAGCGCCCAGAAGATCCCACCAAAGAACTCTACGTGGGGGAAAAAAGCCCTTCTGGGATTAACTATCAATGCTATCTAGAGCCTTATTACTGGAGTGTGGCCCAGGAACTAGCAACATCTGTGTGTCGAAAGAGTTTGCTAAAAAGGCATCTCAGGCCCCCAACCCAGACTATTAATCAAAATCTGCACTTAAGAAGACGGCCAGGAAATTCATATGCACATTAAATTTGAGAAGCATTGCCCTAAAGCACAGAGCTTTCTCCTGAGGCATAAATATTCTTCAATCTATTTATGTACATGTACTCACAATAAAATCAGCAATTAAAATGAGATCTGATATTTTATGGTATAAACAAAGGCCTGAGAATCTGCTAAGTAAACTGTAGGGAGAGATGCCAGATCACGAGGCCCTCCTGAAGCATTACAGAAGAGCTTTGGGTGAGCTATTTCTAGGTTCTACTCTCTGCACTCTCCTAACTAGCCATTGACTTTGGGCAGGTTACTTAATCTTTCTAACTTTGTCTTCTCATCTATAAAATGTAAATATCTGTATTGTAATTATCTCATGGGAAATGAGAAGGCAAAAAACTATTGTGAGAGCCAACAGAGAAAAAAATCCACACAAGGCACTTGGCAATGTTTAATTCCTTGCCTTTATGTGCAACCTTCTCCATAGCTGCCCGAGAAGCATCATTCTTCTAGCAAAAATATGTCTTTTCCCCCAGCAAAACCGTTTCTACAAATTCATTTTTTCCCCCCTATCATCCCTGACTCACTCCAGCTGTCTCTAACACCTACAATCAGCATGTATTCAAAACCATTTGCCTGTCCATTAAGTTCTAGGTGCTCTGGGGTTTTGTTGGGTATCCTCCAACACACACACACACACACACACCCCACCCCCACCCATACCCCCCCATATACTTTTTTCTTTCTAAACTGTTATTTTTCTTTTTATTGATTGGGGGGGAGGGGCACAAGAAAAAAAGGGAGAGAAACATCAATGTGAGAGAGAAACATCCATCAGCCGCCTCCGGCACTTGCCCAGACTGGGGACTGAACCCAAAACTCAGGCCTGCGCCCTGACCAGGAATCCAATGGCGACCCTTTGGTTTAGGCAACAATGCCCAACCAACTGAGCCACACCGATGAGGGCTATAGTTTTTTCTTATGTGTTATTTCCTTAAAAACAAAGCACACGGCCTTCATATTCTCCTATAGCAATCCCTGAGGTCTGCACACAGCCTATTTCATAAACCGCTGCTGACTGCCAAACGTCTGGAGGGTGGAAACTGCCTTATTTATCTCTGTAGCCTCAATAGTGCCTTATATAGGACAGTAGTCCACAAAAATTTAAATTATTTTGAATGCAAGGCTTCTGAGAACCCCGGAAGCGATGCATGAGTGTTGTCCCTCGTTGTCGCTGAAAGCGGCAGCGGTCTTCCTCCCTTTCCCCCGTGGTCCTTACCATGCACAGGGAGACCATAGGGCTTATTGATGACCACAAGGTCCTGGTCCTGATGGACAATCCCTCGCCTCAGTGCCTTAGCGAGCACGTTGGGGTGGACTCTCTGCAGCTGCTGTGTGAACCGCACTAGTTCTTGCACTCTCCGCTGGACAGGGTTTGTGAGCACCTGCCGGGAAAGAAAAAACGATGGGAATGCCTGGTGGGGAAGACCTTCCATAAGTCTGGGCGAGAGTCTGGGCAGGGAGGGAATCCGTGCATCTTTGCATTACACTCGCCCCTTCCCCGAGTAGTTTGAGAGCGGGGATGTTCTTAGCACCGAGCCCTGCAACAACCCAAGACCCAGTCCGCAGGACTACACCCTACCCCGCAGACCCCTTCCTCCGCATTCTCCTCCCGCACCCCAGTCTCCCACCGCGGACCTGAGGGTGGACTTGCAGGGTCTCAGAGGACCCTCCCGCCTCGCTGCCCGCCACTGAGCGCATTGTCTCTTGGGAGCTGTAGTCTTTCCCTCCAGACTCACCGGCCCCTTCTTCGTCTTTTGTTCCTGTTTCTGGGTTCGGAGCCTCTCCGCTAACTGCTGGGCATCCAGGGGCCTAGAGGCAGCAGCGGCTGTGCAAAATGGCTTCGAGGCGAGAGAGAGGACATTACCCACACGCAGCCCGGAGCCCCAAACCCAGAAGCGCCGCGCGTGGCAGCTGAGCGCCACCATCTTGCCGAGGAGGGCGAGGCAAGGCAACACCACCTGACTTGGGAGGTGGATTGGGCGACTGGAAGACTCACGTGGGTCCGTGCTTGGGCTGGGAGGAGGGGGTGGCAGAGGAGAAGGGGGCGGAGGTGGGCGTGGGGAGGTGGGCGGGGCAAGCCTGGCCCTAGTCACGTGGCCGTGCAAGCTAAGTGCGCCTGCGCGGGTGGTTAACTGCAGTTAGAGCGGCGGCGTGTGGAGCGACCCCGGTAAGTGTGTTTGGGAACCCGGCTGCGGTTGGGAAATGCCGGCTCCTCAAGCGTTAACTTCGCGTCTCAGGATCTTTGTCTCGGGGAGCCGTGCCCTGGGAGGCCCGTATCTCCCTTTGGAAGAGATCCCCCACCGCAAACCCCCCTCCGCCCCCCGCAGAGCGATGCCCTCAAACGCTCGCCCCGGAACCTCCTCAGGCGCCGGCTCGTTCATCTTGGCAGCCACGTCCCCGGAGTTTGACCGGTCCCGGGGACGCGTCCTGTCCCTTCCCGTCCGTTTGGTTACCGCTCGGTCCGCGGAGATGCTCGGATCCCCGTCACCTCCCGACTCTCAGACTCTTTGTTACACGTTGGAACCTGTTCTCTCCCTAGGGTGACGGGGAGCCCTCGCGTTATCCGGGGGCCCCGGCCCGATTTCCTACCTAGGGAACCCCTTCAGTTTCTTCTGTCCTTCCTCAAGAGTTCATTTCCTGCAGCCTCCTCTCCCGGTACATACCCTTTCCCTGGGACTCCTTCCGAAGAAAAAGGCTGAGGGGGTACCCAGCACGGACTTTCCCTTTCTGTTCCTTCACGTTCCCTTCCATACTTTGCAACCCACTTCTCTCTCTCGCTCATGCAGGGGGGACCCCCGGTGCCCAAACTGCAAGCGACTCTCTCTGGTTTCTCTGTGGGGTAGCTGGGAAGATGAACATTGGTTGGGATGGTGATGTTAAAAATACCTTGAAACATACCTACCATTTGTTAAAAAGAAAGCTGTTGCCGAGTTGTGAAAAATGATGGGTCTGTACTGACGATCGAGGAAAGGATTTCTTAAGACTGCTTAGAGTGAAGGCTGCCTGAGGAGTCAGAGCAGGCGCTCGAGGTAGGTTCGCCTGCTAGCCGCACGGAGCGTGACAGAAATTTGAACAGGCAAGTGGAGCCAGCCTATAGACGACTTTAAGGTGAAGAAGAGTTTGAACTAGATGTGACAAGTAGTGAGAAGTCTTTGGAGCTTCTTGAGCAGGAGGGAGACTCCTTGCAAGGGGAATTCTAATGAATCTGGCCATTGAATGCAGGGACAGATTGAAAAGGAAAGGGCTTTGATAGCAGGGAAATCTGCCAGGGTGCCGCCGTCGAGGCAGACAGTGTGAGATCATCCTGCTTCATTCAGTGGTCTTTTCTCCCTACACTATACTGTTCCCTGGAGTTAGAATTGACTTTGAGTTGAACAAGTCAGAATGCACCATTGGCTGCTGCTGTTCAACTGTGAGTCCCTTATAGACTCGTTCATTTTCTTATTCCTACATCTGGCACAATAACCTCACAGATACTCATTAGATGAGGTGCATCAGAGGCGTGTTTTAGGTACGTGGGAACGCTTTGATTTGTCTTAGTTCCGTCATTTTTTTGACCTGAAGAATGGAAGTGGGAGTAACTGTGTTTGTAAGGAGTGGGAAAGAAGACTTGTGCGTGTTTCTGTAATAAGATGGGTGATTGGGATAGAATTGCAAAGAATTACACGTGAGTTTGGGGAACGACTTGTTTCTCTCCTTCTGTCCACACCCCCCACCCACAAATTCACAGGTAAGACATAGATCCGTGATAGCTGAGAAGTTCCACTCTACGAGAATTATTGCCTTTTACTGATACGCTCCAGACCCAGGTTTTAGTTTCACTGAAAAGTCACACATCATGTATTACTTAGGTACAGGAAGCGTTTTTTCCAGGGACTCTGAAATTTGGACATCAGGATTTTAATTCACATCACTGCATTAATTATAATTACTGTTTGGGGTATAATACTTTTATGGTTTTGTGGGGGCTGGGGAAATCTATTTCTACCTTTATCTGTCCTTAATGGCATTAAAGAAATGATACGTGTTCCTGAAGAATTGGCCTGCTGTGGCAGGAAACAAAATGAACAACCAACTCAGATGTCATTGCTAGGGACACAGAGCTTGTGTTCTTGGGTTTCAGTTTAACCCAAGATAACACTATAGAGCCTAAGAATAAAAAAGAAAAAAGGCTGGTCAGTTTTCTGTGGAGAAGGATCTTTTAGGTTTTTCCTGCTGAAACATTACCAGAAAAATTTGAAGAATTCCAAGTCTTTGTTTCCTTGGTATCAGTACAGTCTTAGCCAGTATGGGTACAGAAGTTGCAGCTTCCTGAATGTTTCCCCTATGAGTCTAGGCACTTGGTGATTTAAAGTAGAACTGCTCTCTAAGTATACAAGAATTTATGCAAACATGATGACTGTCTTTTGTTTTCTTAATGCTCTGTTGTCTCCTTCCTCACTCAATTGATCCTATCTTAGGCAATTTATTTTTTCCACTTCTGCACCAATCTCACATTCTCTTTTTGGTTGAGAATTCCTCATCTGGATTGTTTGCCCTGTACAATGAAGAATATTCTATTTGTGGTGTCTTCATTTTTATAGAGTTCAAACATGGCATATTTACATATTTTTAAAATTTCATCTGTTGGGGTAACATTGGTTAATAACAAATTTCAGGTGTACAGTTTTTTAATACATCTGTGTGCTCATCGCCTGAGGTTTAGTCTCCTTCCGTCAGCATGTATTTCCCCTCCTTTACTCTTCCCGTCTGGCAACCACTATTCATAAGATTTTGATATATCGTAATATATCAAGTGCCGCCAAAACAACACTATAAAGAACTTAATATATTTTGAAGGATATTTCCTGATCTACGCAAAAGCAAAGCTACATTTTTATTTCCTAGATACGAATAAGGACCAGCTAACAAAGGAACTTGTGTTTAAATAAAACAAGTTTAAGTTTAATTAATGGCATATGGTTCAATTCTGGCTTCTCAAACAATGATTTGCAGGTTGCAGATTAACCAGCAATTCGGTCTCCCTGAAGAGCAGGAAGTACTTGGACATTGTCTTATGGTTTTAGAGAGAGTGAAAGTAGCAACCAGCAGGAGCTTGCTGGACCTAGAAGGTGCAGTTGTGGGGAGCGGGGGGGGATCTGGGGACTAGCCCCAGTTTAGCTGCTTCTGAAGTTAAATAATTTGGGCTTCAACTTTTTCTTTTAAGAAAAGATCCTTACAACTCTAAGCTGCTTTCTATAAACCTTTTCCACTGACACTTAAGTGTTTCTCTTAACAAGTAGAATTTATTTCAGACTTACCTTAAATACATTTAGCATTAGCATGGGCAACCAGGATTCTGCTTTTACCCCAGACTTTGAGCTTATGCCAGGTGAGCTAACATTTATATTTGAAGGTTACTTTATTGAGTAATGTTAGAATATACCTTAAGATTTCCTATGTGGGGCATGACAGAGGGAGGAGTGCAGACAGAAAACGACAAAGATATTAGAGCCCTGGTCGAGTAACTCAGTTGGTTACAGCATTGTCCTGATACACCAAGGTTGCATGTTTGATTCCCAGTCAGGGCACATAGGAGAATCAGCCAATGAAAGCATAAATAAGTGGAAGAACAAATCAATCAATCAGTCAATCAATCCCCCCTTTCATCAGTCAGTAAAATTTTTTTTTAAATATTAGAAATCAGTGGTATAGACCTTATAACATGGCTGTTCTTTTTCCCATACCAGCATTTTAGAGATATTCTGTTGTACTAATGCTCCTCATTATACTTTTATTCAGCTTTTGAGTAATAAACCAGAGCAAGTATAGCTTAAACCAGTACTTCCCAAACTTTTTTCATATCGTGGTACAGCTAGAAGCAATTGGTGCTTCATGGAGGAAAACTGCAGGCAGGCCACAGAAGACAGCTGGCCTGGAAGCTGTGCCTGTCCCTAGTCCTCACATGACTGTACCTCATCCTGCTTCTTCATATGAACAGTGGAATTAATCGCATCTAATAAGATTGCTGTGCTGGACCACGGGATAAATATATGTGGTGCCTAGCACGTAGTAGATACTCAAATTATTAGTAGCATTTCATGACTATAAGTTAAAATAAGACCATTACATTAGAGCATTGTCAAGACTATAGAGAGCTATGTGTTTATAGCATTTATGATAATGAAAATGATCAAGGTATCTTAGGGGAAAATATGCACTGGAAGGATGAACATAGAGACCATGTTTCCAGAACATGAGCAATGGAAAATTGAGGGATATTCACCATGTAGGTGGTTAGAAGCCAGAGGATATCAGGATCCCTGGAGAAATTCAAGACATTTGCAACATACAGTTGCTTAAGTTGAATAAACCTATGCTACGATTACCTGAAATTTTAAGCAATAAATTGTAGATGTGGATTGCTATGTTTTCATTCTTAATGATTGGAGCATGCTGTGTGGCCTTTTTTTTTTTTTTTTAATTTTATTTTTAGAGAAAGAAGGGAGGGAGAAAGAGAGGGAGAGAAACATTGATTGGTTACCTCTCTCATGCCCCCAACTACGGATCTGGCCCTCAACCCAGGCACGTGCCCTGACCAGGACTCGAACCTGCACCCTTTCGGTTCGCAGGGCAGCCCTCAACCAACTGAGCCACACCAGTCAGGGCTGCGTTGATTTTAATGATACTGTGAATTTAATGACATTAATGACATTAACTTCTAATAGCTGTTACAAGGAGAGCTGAGCTGTTGTTAACTGATTTGGAAAACCAGATCCACAGTGAGTTATTGATCCCAGTATTGGCTAAGACTCTACTGTGATACAAAGCAAAGACTTAGTGCTTCGGATTTTTCTTAGGATGTTTCAACAAAAAAACTTAAAAGGTTCCTTCTCCAGAAAAGTGACCAGTGCTTTTATTCTTAGGCTCTATAGTGTGTATCTTGGGTTAACCTACTAGTCAACATTTTCCCAACTTGCTTGGTGATAAGAATG